TGATAGAGCGTTTGGTGAATTGCTCCTGTACTCAACGTATGGTACCCTAAAATTTTAAGTACTTGGTAGACCTCCACTGCTCGCGAATACGGTAGGAGGGGCCTCGGTTGTACGTTTCTACTGGTTCTTCTTACAGAATTCCTGTCGTTAATTGGTAGATGTACAGTAAATAGTTGAAAACACGACACCTTAAGGATCTACTAGCCACCTTTCGGAATACGGCGGTTGTGGATCTATTGCAGAGTACGGAGTATAAACAAGAATTTTCCCAACAGGAACAATTGTAGTCCAAGTGAAATTCCGATTGATAGAGGCTGGTATATAACGGACACATACACTCTCAAAACATATGCCACAGAGTAATCCTCATTGTACTCAGATCCTATGCTGAGTTCACCACCTCCCATTCAACGCTCAATATATATGCACGTAGTGTCAATGCACAACCGAGTACGGTTAGGGGGACCACTATCAAACGCAGTACCGTACTACCGTGACTCTATCTACACGTAGAGCACGCTGTTATACTGGGTATATTTCGCAATATTGTTGACGCGGCACATAGTGTCGAGTATCGCATCGTGTACTCCATAATCTTCCCCATATAAATTTTCGAGTGCATCGGCGTTTACCGACTGTGACGCGTAAGGAATATACATTGGAACGTGACAATGGCACTATTTTTTCGCACGAAAGCTTGTACCCTTTAATGATATGGTGACCTCGGGAATTCCTCGGATGCCTTGGTCTTAGGAGAAAGATGAGATAGACTACGCCACCCGCTCAACTATTTGATGATCGTTACCTACTAGGCACCTCAGTAGTCCTCCAGTATGCACAGAGATTCAAATACAAGGTTATCGGAGCATCTTACCTATTGCAAGGCTGATGAAGCGTGCATCAAGGCTGCAGCACCCTTTCGTAGGGGAACTGGATTTCCAAGGTGCAGAAGGCTGTCGTGGGCGCCGCCCAGCGGCCTTAAACTCTGACAAATCTAAGCAACTTACCCGGGCAATAGGGTGGAGACAAAGTGCTGTCAACAGTCGATTGGTGATTCCTCTCGGGGATTGGAATTTTTCAGCTCAGCACTCCTCTACTAATCCATAGTGTGCTGCTACTAGTTCCTAGTAAAGCATAGTGATGTTGGCTACTGCACGGTGGGTATATCCATCTGTTGGTAGATGAGACAAGTCATCTCAACGGCTGTTTGACCCCATCTCCCCCTCTCATGTTGTGTATCACTGTGAGCCGTCCCATCTACGTGCCTTAACAATGTTCACTGGGCAGTTTCGTCCTCTATTACCATTGTGAGCAGCTGTCCATTGACTCGAATTTTCGGGTCACGGCTGCGAGCAGATTTACATTGTTGAGAGACAAGTTTCAGGTGGAAAATCGTAGGCAGTGAATGAAACAGGCGAAAAATTTTCTCAATCAGACGAACAACGCCCCAACCTTCAATCCGGCGGCTGACAAGTACACCTATACGGAAATTAGGCTGAACTGTAACCAGCCTATCTGGAATCTCCATTTTATCCCTGGACATGAAAGTATGCATGAACTGAGCCGGACTATATTAGTATTTTATGCGTGTCGAGCGCCATTGCTTGGCTTCTAGCATGTACTTTATCGGGCTGCCACAGGGTTAGGCACGTATGAAGGTGTGATTACCCATGTAGAAGCGATGTACTATACCGCATTAAGTAGATAATATTGTAATATACTTTCAGAGAATTTTTAAGCGTTCGTTGTATGTGTATACATACGTACGGAGTACGTATATACATACATAGACCTTGTCCTTGCGAGCTAGACTCGACGTATTGCTTCTGTAGGGAAGTGCCATATTTTCGTCAAATAGACACTCATCTCTGTACCATGTTCATGATGGATGGCCCAACGACTCTCGGCGTCTCCTTCGCCTATTAAGGTTGAGCTCCGTCACGAGTTCAAGGCCATGATAATTTACTCTTTACCTCGTAAGGAAAGGGCAACGAAGGAATCGCCAAGACCTACAAGCCTGGATCTTCATCCACATCCAAAACACCCAAATAACTATTGGATTACGGTTGCGGATAGTGGGACTTACGCATACTCCGGAGTACTTGTGACCCGAAATGGTCCTAGGGTTTCTTGGTGACCGGCTGTCATCAACTCACAGGCCGGATATGCCCGGCCCAGCCACCATATTGCAGGAGGAGTACATTTGGGATCCGCGTCCCTGCCGAAAAAAGAAAAAGCGAGAAACGTTCAGAAGCTAAGATAGTTCTCTCAGTGAGTATCTCTCAAATTGATCGTCTGTCAGCCGATAGTATGTCATACGACTTGTTTTTCCATAACCAAATCCTCGGATCTGGAGGGTTCAAGGCACTTAACGACCTGGCAAAGCGAAGCTAAAGAAGCCGCCGCAGGGATTGCTAGTGGCACCCAAGCTGAAAGGATTCTCCCTCGCAAACCCCCAATTGGCATGGTTTATATGCACGTCCAACAGTTTCAGTGGGAGGGGAAATCTATCCACCAGACATTTCCTCTGCCTACTCGTCGTACAAAGGCCATGCATAAGTGCAATGGACCCTGGACTTTTCTCAAATTTCGTCCTGGCCGAGATATGCGCTTGTTGATAGGACGCGGCAGGATGAATGTCCACCTAAGATTCTGTCAAAAAGCAAAAATAAGATGTTACATCGCAGATTACCCCCCTTTTTAGTTAACGCCAGTGGTAACGATCATCGGGATTTGGAGTCACTCTGGTGTATCTTTGCTGTAGCATAGCCTGATGTTGTGGAAATACCTAATTGAGTCATTGCTCGTTTAACTCTGAGTATTTCTCCGGCAAGCCAAGCATGCAGGTGAGGGTCTAGTTCGTCCTTTGACAGATGGCAATCTTCGCACTGAAGCCAACTTGACGTCAGGATGAAGAAATATTCTTCGATAGTGTCCCTCGGGAGGGGTAAAACTGATAATACTAGCAAGTTGCCTGCTATTGAGTTACACGTAATAATTAAGAAACGCTAATGTGTCATGGAAACTCCAGATAAGACTTTAGCACATATGTAATATTGGGGCATCTAGAACGTAACAAGGGTGGAAGCAAGGATAAACCCGTGGACAGTTCTTTTTCTTTAGTTTCCCCTCTCTTAACAGGGAGTCTAAACGGTAGGCGAAAACCCAACCTGGGAACACTAATCCCTCCATCTGTCACTAGGGGTAGGTCTAGTACTATATTGTGATCTGCTGCTAGTGAGTAATGGGTTCACACAAGGTATGTTTCTGTCTCACATACGTATTATCACTGCTTTTTCTCTTGTGCTTGAGGTTGTAGTAGTTTCTTGTCATTAGTACTATATATCTGCGGTGAATTTTGAAATTTCTGTGCTGTATACTTCCCAAGGTTTACCCTTACTAATATCAAACAGTAACTACGACGCGAATTTACCACCAAGGTATTGGGGACTTACCCCTCAGACCAAACTTTCCAATTGACAAATACGGATAACCATAATAAATGCCCGACGGAGGTGCTGGTTGGTAGCAATGGCCAATCAAACGTTTTGGGTATCAGGTAACGCGATAATATAAAGTTAAAAAGGATCGCTTCCGGACCATTCGGTCGGGTCGCGAGTCAATCGGGGTGTAACACAAGGTACCGAGTACCTGGTATCTATAGACGTGGCCTTAATGTCAGATTCTTATACCGCGGCGAAAAGTTCTTCCCAAAACTGCATTAAGCGTCATTATTTGCCTAGAAAAGAAGGGTTAGGTTGTACGGAGTACAGGATCCTGGTCCTTTCGAGAAGACGGGAGCTCGAGTTTTGCAAGTACAATACATCAAACAGAGAAGGATGAATGTGGCAAAACTAAATATCAATCACATTTCGTACAATTCACTCCAATTCTTCCCCAGTGTGGTTTCTCTGCATACATTTGTTTTCCGAAGAAAGCATGCTAACCCAATTTTGAGAATTGCAACCACAGCTGTCTTCGCCCATTTTTCAAGTCGCTAAGATTTTCTCAACGGACAGTAAACTGCCCTCCATCGGTTGTTCCTTATCCGTCCTATTTGTATACAATGTTAGACGTTCGATTATCGAATAATGGCCTTGTTAGATGCCCACTCACCTGGTTGTGATGCGGATATCTGTCTGGATTCTTGGTATGCCCTCCTGGTGGATCAAGGTATGGGCATATCCAATGACTCGGGCGACTTGGTCCCAGGGTCCCTCTAGATCATTCAATTAGTGGCTCCGGTTCATCATATTTGTTTACACGATCTGAGAGTCATCCTGAATCGCCAAAACCATAATATAACGTCATCTCGCCAATGGTCAAATGGCAGCAACTTACCAACAGCCGTCCCAGTCGCAGTCATCTGATACTTCAGGCCAGACTTCTGCAGCAGGTCCTGGATTTCTGCGATCTGCTTGGAGAATGATGCATTCTGCGAGCCGATCTAAGAAGCGAGCGTCAGCTGAATACATCCATTACGCAAGTCTTTGTTGCCATCTTCATGGCCCTCCACCACGATCGTTAACTGGAACACGGAATACCTACCGGAACCAAGGAGAAATCGGCGATGCAGGTCTGAGGTGTTGTCAGATCAGCTGTCGCCATGTCTGTTGCCGTTGTCGTTCTCGTGACTGGTGCTACTCTGTATCAAAGGTGGGTACTGGAGGGTTGATGTTCCTAAGCTTTGGGAATATCTAAAACTGCGCAAACCCCGCTTGGATACTAAGCGGTTTATTATAGCTCACATTCTATCATATTATCAGAGTGACGTTCGTATTGATCATCGGCGTTTCTTGCAAACAACGAATGAGACTGTTGGTTGCGATTGTGTGTAGGTTATTTCGGCCAGCGCCTACAGTTGTGTTCCACGCAATACGGGCGGCGCCCAAACTATATTGATGGTGAGCTGTACGCTCTGGGCTCACTCGTTCCGTGGCTCATCTGCATGGCTTGGTGCCACATATGGATTACTTTAAACTTGATCTATCTCATGACTGACAATTGATCGGCTATCTAGACGTCAATTTCCAAACATCCTTACCCTCCCCTTTTTCCAGCGGTATCTCATAAACCTCTTATCACTTATAAGCTATGGTATCAATCGTCTTAAACGCTAAATTCTTCGCCTAGCCCCGATAATAAGTTTCATCGATGGTCCTTCCTCGGCGTTGCTGCGGCTCACTACCACGAACATATGTATCCTCAAACAAAATGTCAAGTTTCGTCTCGGGCTCAGGCATCCTTTCAGCCTCGGCCACTTCATTGTTGACTTTGCTTCGTACATTTTTATCAATTGTTTTGGCGTCCTCCTCCGAAAATACACCCCACTCAATCAACCTCTCTTTGAAGGTAGAGATTGGGTCATTCGCACGCTGCTCTTTCAATTCTTCACGGCTTCGATATGCAATTCCTGGGTCTGACATTGAGTGACCCGCATATCGATATGTCAGGTACTCATAGACTAGGGGTCCATTTCCTGCTTGGACGAAATTCTTGCCATATCTGACTGCGGAAAGGACAGCAAGGACGTCCATTCCGTTGATTCGTAGTCCCGGGATGTACTGGCCACGCTTGTAGTACTCGGTCATGGCAGAGGCTCTTTCAACAGAGGTTCCCATGCCGTATTTATTATCTAGAAGCACGTTAGTGCAATGAAGAACGTACCCCGAGAGAGTGAGCTCACTCTCACAGCCAAATATCACAGGTAGATTCCACAGCTTAGCCATATTGAAAGATTCGTGAACTTGGCCTTGATTGGCTGCTCCATCACCATAGAGATCGATGGTGACATTATTTGCATTGTTGTATTGTTGAGCGAACGCGATTCCAGCACCTACTGGCACGCTGGCTCCGACAATCCCATTTCCCCCAAAGAAGCTCTCGCAGAACATGTGCATAGAGCCACCTTTACCATAGGAGATGCCATCTCTTCGTCCAAGCAATTCCCCAACGATAGATTTCACAGTCCCTCCACGCATCAAGGTAAACCCATGGGAACGGTATGCTGTTATTAGTTTGTCATGCCTAGTAAGTGCATGCTCAATACCGACAGCGACTGCCTCCTGTCCAGTAGATAAATGGCAAAAACCGCGGATTTTCCTGTCTTTATATAATCCGTCCGCTGCAAGCTCCATACGCCTGCGAAGAGTCAACGATATTGCTCGGCGCGAAAGGGAAAAGAGACCAGAGAGATCAAATAAACCTTATCAATGTCATATCATGGTATAACTGTTTGAGTTCCCTCTTGGTTGTTTCAACTGAATACGGAGGAGGATCTAAATGATACGTATCGAAGCTATCTTCTGGTATCGGAACACTAAACGGTTTATCATCCTCCTTCAAAGACGTCATATGTCATTAATTGCCTTCTATCAAAGGAATAATGCATTTGTCACTTACAGAAGGTATGTCTTCCAAATTAGCGACATGTGCTAGAGAGCGGCGGCAGGTACAAGAAAAGACTGGCCGCATCCAAGGGACCGCCCCAGCTCTTTTCAAGGATCTTGAAAGCATAGTTTAGGTTATAGCAATGGTGCCACTGGCTACTATGCGACCACAATGAATATAGGGGAGATTAGGGAACTTTTGACGTGCTTTAAATCCCAACTTAAGCTCTTAGAATCTGTAGAACTTATAGAATTTGTCACTCTGGAGTTGGTTTAATGAGCGCTTCCAGTGGACCATCCAGATCAACAATATGTGACGCAATTGTTAACTCATCAGGTCGCATCCTCAACTAAGTATTACTTTTAACCTGTGGGCAAGTCTAAGACTACTATCTATAGAGTTCTGGAATTGCTATGCTACCTATTATCCGAAAGCACATCTAGTCAGTCCACAGACATGTCCAATAAAAAGACCTATAGCCACCTTGCATACTAGTAGTATCGACTCGAATCAATATTACCCGATCCGGAAATGACACCAATTCGGACCGGATCAACTGTGCATCCGTGATGACGCATTGTTGCTCTGAACAATTCTGGAACTAGTTTCAAAGTTCCAAACACATCAGATCTTATGCTTGTAAATAAATAGGCATAAATTAATGCTGTATCTCATGCCTATTCCTTCGCCGAGTGGAGGGTCATCGTTATTTGCGCTCTAATTAGCATAGCGATGAAGTCACCAAGGCACTTATCGCAGTTCTCAGTTTACCACATCCACGCGTTGAGACGCGTTTGACTATTTATCTGATCAGGCAAACCTTCAGCCCTATGGTTCCGAATACGTCCTGCTGAAAGTATGCCTCGCACGACTCGTGCCCGTTCGAAGAAGAACGCAGCCCCTAGCGGTCGCCATTTAAGAAAGCAAGATGATGAGATCCCAGAAGTATACCAGGAGATGCTGGCAGAAGCCGAAGCTCGAAATCCCGGCAGCCTAGAGAACGATCGGCCAATAAAAAAGCGAAAGGTACAAGGGCATTCACTGTCGTCTTCTACTCCTTCTCAGATTACAAAGCAAGGAGATCACAGTCCATCAAAGAAGCAAGAAAATGCCAAAGAAAATGTCAACCAGCAAGTACAAACGGTGTATGACTCTTCTTCTGATGATGAATCGGAAATGGAGTGGGAAGAGGTCGACATTTTGCAAGCATCTGCTGTTCCTATTCAACCAGCTCCTGTTCCTGGAGGAGAAAATGAGACCATGCAGATCACTCTTGAGCCTCATCAGGATCAAAAGCGAAAAGTAATTAGAAGGCGGAAGCCAATCACAGCAGCTGAGAAGGAGATGAGATTACATGTCCACAAAGCCCATCTGCTTTGCCTCTTGTCTCATGTCCAGTTACGAAACCTCTGGTGCAACGATGAAGATATTCAGGTACGCCTTGGCTTTGGCACGATCCTGTTCGCACCTCAACTAATATGAAACCCAGGGGTTTCTTAAACAGATGTTGACAAAACGCGTGATCTCTCTTCTGAATCCGTCGCAGGAACAGCCACAGTATACAAGGTCAACAACGTTCATTGATGGACTTAATCAGGCCAGCGATGCCTTTCTAAACAGATTCAGAGTTACTATGCCGGGTTTGAAGCGAGCTCATTGGGCAGATGACTCTCTTTCCTTGAAACAAAGAGTGGTATTGTACTCAACTTCTGTAGTAAAAGGGTCGTGCTTCTAATGCCGTCCTAGGAAGATATTAAGTCAGACGCAGAGGTTTTCTTATCGAAGGAGGATTTTCTAAAACAGGCTAAGACACTTCAAGGCTCTCGCGATTTTGGTGCACAGCTGTTCTGTGCTCTACTGCGCTCCGCAGCTGTGGAAGCTAGGCTCGTTTGTTCATTGCAGCCATTGCCATTCACTGGGACAACCAAAAAAATGACGCCTACCAAGCCAGGACGGCAGATCATCGGGATCTCGTCAGATGATCATGATACCTCTACCGATGATTTGACAAAACGGAGGGCATCGCCAACACCGTCAAGGACCAGACGTCTTGGTCGGCCACAATTTAAACCCTCAACTCCGCCGAAGAGCTTCATTGCCAGTATGTATTGCCACAAAAAAAGGCATCTGAATAACCGTATTAACGACTGAAGACTCACGACCTAGTATCCGGGAATCATTGCACCCGGTATTCTGGGTCGAGGCTTTCAACGAAGCGATGCAGAGGTGGGTTCCTGTTGACCCATTGGTGACGAAATCGCTTGCGAAACCTCGCAAATTTGAGCCGCCATCAAGTGATCCGTATAACTGTATGAGTTATGTTATTGCATTCGAAGAAGACGCTTCGGCAAGAGATGTGACGCGCCGCTACTCCAAGGTATTCAATGCCAAAACACGCAAGCTACGCGTGGAGGCTACCAAACATGGGGAAAGATGGTGGGACCGGGTTATGCGGTTTTATGAGAGACCTTTTCTCGAAGACCGTGATGAAGTGGAAATTAGCGAGCTTACAGCCAAAATTGCTGCGGAGGGTATGCCCCTGAATATACAAGATTTCAAAGATCACCCGATCTTTGCGCTCGAGCGACACCTTCGCCGTCATGAAACTATTTTCCCGAAACGTGTCGTTGGACAGGTTAGCGTTAGCAAATCAGGGTCAAAAGATCAAGCTTTGGAACCTGTTTATCGCCGATCTGATGTCCACGCTTTGCGAAGTGCGAACAGCTGGTTTCGGTTGGGACGGGACATAAAGATTGGCGAGCAGCCATTGAAGCGTGTTAAATCCCGTAACAATCAAGCCATGGCTGTCGAGGAAGATGGTAGGGACTCTGAACAGTACACTGAAACAGCTTTATATGCTTTTCACCAAACCGAACTATATAGACCACCATCGGTCGTCCAAGGGAAGGTTCCAAAAAATGCCTTTGGAAACCTAGATATCTACGTACCGAGCATGGTTCCCCCTGGAGGAGTCCATATCAAGCATCCTGATGCTAGGCACGCCGCGAAACTCTTGGGTATTGACTACGCAGATGCCGTAACGGGCTTTGACTTCAAAGGGCGCCATGGGACAGCCGTAGTCCAGGGTGTTGTCATTGCTAATGAGTATGGGGAGGCATTAAAGGAAGTTCTAGGTTGCCTTGAAGACCAAAGGTTGCAGGCTGAGCTCGAGCAGAAATCGGCCGAAGCGCTTCGGCTTTGGAAACACTTTTTGCTTAGGCTTCGCATCGCAGAAAGAGTCCAAAGCTACGCGGTTGAAGGCGAAGAGGCTGATGACGAGGAGAGCATTGCATCAAGCACTAATGGCCACGGCAACCCAGAAGAAATCGGCGGTGGGTTCATCCCTGAACCAAGCCAGGAAGCTATTGGTTCACAGAAAATCGCTCAAGAACGCCACATTGAAAGCCTCACTGCGCCCAAAAATGATGATTTTCTCAGCGGAGGATTCATTCCTGACGACGGTGAGACCCATCAGGAAACCGCCGAAGACTCGGTTCCTGATGTGGCAAATGGTCCTTCTTACACAAATAGAGCAGAGCCGTCTCTATACTCGCTTGTTGTCGTGTCAGACGATACGAACACTGCTCAAGGTATAACGCCTTATCAAGGCGCCACAATATCGCCACCCGAGGCTTCAGCGCCCAACTCAAGAGACAAAGAAGGTCCTAAGGATGAAGATCGAAAAGTCTCCGAAGGGGTTTTGTCAAATACTCCTAGCTTGATTGAGTCGTCAACGACAGCAAACACACCCTCTGCGAGTGTTGATGTAACTTCTCAGCCTCTCTCAGCAACGCAGCCACGAATTGAATCTCCCGTGACTTCAGACAAAGGATCGACTAGTAATGATGAAGGGTCCCTGTTATCGCATGATCCAGAAGATGAAGATGCGATTCCAGAGTGGCTCATGTCTGATTAACGAGCCCAGGCCTCTCGCCACGTGTGCAGTCTACCTTTAGATCAGATTATTATTAAGTAATCTCAAATACACTATAATTATACTAGATACCCAATAAGTTGCGCATGTGGTTGTTAGCATTGTACAACATAGTTAGATGTAATTTGCCTTAAGGTTCAGGCATCAGAACTCCCATTCAAGTTAAATGGTTTTGTTGTGCACAGACCATCTGTTTATGGCTTAGCGACGCGTGGTCGCGTATCGCCAGTCGTCACAATCAATAAGCAAAGCTAAGACAACGCCACCAAACATTCTCCATTTAGTAACCGGCAATAAAATCTTATGGCTCATTACAACTTACTACACCATCTTCACGATTTGATTTGCGATGAGACGAGGTGATACAAGTGGGACGAACGCGCAGACCAGCCAGGAACAGTTTCAAATTCCGGATAAACCTCCTCCAGGTCCTTCAACGGCAGCTGACAGCTTGAGAGGGCCATTGACTTCAAAGAAGAGGACTGGAACACCTGCATCTTCAGCTTCTACATTTAGGTCATGGAAGAGGACCTCAGTTGCCGGAGCTCGAGATCAACCGACACTCACTCAGATCGATTTCGTGACGCAGGTATCACAACCTCAGTCAGATGACGATGATCTCGATTATATTGACGAGGCACATAAGAATGGCACAAGGAAGCATAAGGAGGTTATCGAGATAGCAGATGATTCTGGAAATGATGCCGATTATCGACCACCTTCGAATTCGCGAGTCTCGCGAGCCCGCGGCGTCCGATTTGATCGGGATACGAATAGTGTCGGGTCTAAGCAGCCCAATGTGGTCAGTCAAGGTGACGGGCCTTCAAAACGGGGCCGAAGAAAAAGTGGTGACAGTGCCAAGGGCAACAAGAAGGGCAAGGACAAACAACAGAAAGATAAGACCTTGACACAAATGGACTATGTAAGGCGGTACTTGAAGATCGAGCCGGATGAGGATGTCAAATTGGAGTACACATATACCACTCCGCTCAAACATGAGCGAAAATCTCATAATTTGCATCCTCCAGAT